ATCTCCCAGACCCCGCATAACCCCCGCCCACTTTTTTGATCATCCCCACTGACCGAGAGCCTGGAACAGGGTAAGTCATATGAGCCTTGGCTCCCGGAACCCAAAAATACATTAATGCCATAACTCTGTTTACATCGATTGAACATGCTTTTCTTTTCGCTGATCGAAAGCATGAAGCCAGTGTAGTTCCCAATTTAAAATACTTGCTTAAAAAATGGATCAACCCATTAATTTTCATGTTATTTTTTATTGATTCAAAATGTCTACTTTTCAATTCTTTGGCAAGGTTTTCGTTATCTAGAAAAACATAGCGGCTGAAAGCAGTGGTAGGCGCAGTATTCGAAGGCTAATATGAAGGTTTTTCTAGACTAAGTAAACACAATAGATATATAAAAAAAGCACGTGTCTTAACGCATTAGTATAGGTAATCAACTGAATGCGACGATTTACACTACAAGTGATATTTGAAAATTCTCTTAAAATTGCACGAGCCCTTTGTGTAAATCCTTAATTTTTCGAGCTTTCCGACGATTAGATTTACTCATTTATTGAATGACTGAGAAAAAATACGAACGCGAGCGCGTTAATTTTCACTGCAGTGCAAATTAGAATTAACGATAAACTGGCCTGCCCCCAGCCAATCACAATGAAGTAATATTCTCATTCAGTAATATAAATGACATTATCAGAAAAATACTGAAGCTTTCGATCCATCTACTCTGTATTTTTCAGCTAACGTCGTCGACGAAAGAAAAAAAAATTGTTTCTTGCATATTTGCTTCCAAGTTGAAAATATAAATGTTCAATCACATAAAAGTTGTTTCGAAATGTTTTGCCGTTTAAACTAGATTTTAATAAATATGATGTCCGATCCATATTTTTGTAAAGGGACAGATGAATTCTGGCCAGATTATCGGAAGTTGTCTTTTTTTTTCTCTCCACGTTACATGTACCTCGCCATATTGCCACCAAATACGCAACTTTTAAATTGAACAAAACATTCCACAGAGAAAAATAGGAAAAGTAAACGGGGGAGAAGAAAAAGATAACAATGTTGAAAGTGGATTACAGTTCATCAATCTGATTAGTTGTTATCAATTCCTTTGTTTGATATTTCTTTCTTTCTTTTTTTTTNGTGGGTTACAGTTCATCCAATCTGATTAGTCGTCAGTTGTCAATTCCTTTGTTTGATACCTCTTTTTTTCACCAGTTCAGTGCATGAGTTTTTTTCTTTCTTTCTCTTTTACACTATAACAAGATAACTAAATAAAATATTTGCTTGCAAATAGTATTATTAAGTTTTCCTCGACAATCTTAGCATTAAACTGTTTTGTTGTGTCTCTGGTTGGGTGACAAGATCCGGGCATGTACTGAGGGGTTATGGGATTAAATCAGATGATGCCCCTTCTAGGGAAATGCGTTTCAATTGAACTCGTTGGGGAAAAGTGATGGGTTTTTTCCCCTTCCGCCCCTCCCGATTTGTCTTCAACTCTCGATAAAAAGGGTAATAAAGAGGATGTTGTTGTTGTTGTTGCTGTTGTTGTTAGCAGTGCGTTGGGTTGTTGTTTTAGTTGCAATTGCGTTTTTCAGTGCCCTCGCCTTTACTGGGCCAGAAAAATAATTTTGCTCCTGGTAAAATCTGTTAAGATTGGAAAATAATTATTTTCTTAAAACGCCTATGGGCCTTTTTTTTTATAGCCATTTAATTCCAGCCTTTGTGTGTTATGTTACTGTATTGGGGTCCAGCAAACAAGCTTTAGGATATGCAACACTGATTAATGCTGATATGGGATGAAGGGGAGAAACATAAAAGTACTTTTATAGCAAACTCGAGCTCCAAAGTATGCTTTTCAAAACAAGATTTATTGGCCTTAACGCTGTCCCTCTATTCTAATTCGTAACATGAATTAGCATACATCCCAACAGGACGATAACAAGGAAAACATAGTTTTAAAAAGAATCACACAAGACATAGGGAATAACCTCGATTTATTTTGCAAGATCCAATCTTATTATGTTATTTTGACATTTTCCTTCTTTAATGTCATTTGTGCCTGACATTTTTTTCTACCTTTCTTGTCAGCCTTCGTGGGTAAAGTATTTCACTTCTTTAGCTTTGGGAGTCTCCATGCGTTCTAAGGACCCCAAAACACAAGTGGGTTGTGTTATTGTGGACTCAGAAACACTTAAAGTAAGTATTTAATGTCAGAAGCCATTTTCGTTGGTAATTAAGAGAGAGAATTGAAAAATTCTGCGTAACATTTGGCTCCCATGAACACAACATCCAAGGTGGCTTTGCCCAATAAGAATCATTGAGGCACGGATAATTTATAAGCACTCATCTCTAGATTCATGATTAAAATTCATTTTAACCAAGTATGACCCATTGTTGATAATTTGCAAAGACCCATCTCTAACTTCATGACTAAAATCCGCTATAACCAAATATGATCGTTTTGAACTATATTCTGGTTCATTTTGAGTCTACCTTGGTTCGCTGTATCATCTTATTGACCAAAGTTTGTTTGAAACGAAAATTACCCAGCTCAGCTTCACTTCTCATGCGAGGCTCTAACTCGACTTTTCATCAGCTTTAATTTAAGAACCATCAACCGAATCTCAATCAGCAGACGTAAGTAAATCTATCAAAACGCTGCTTATGAACAACACATGTACACTTCAGCTGCCAAAGGCCAACACTACAACATACGGTTTAAAATCCTGGAGGTTTACGACACCAAAACTATGGAACTTAATACCTGACTCATACAGACTTATTTTTAAAAATGATATTATTAGAAAATTAGACTTGTCAGGACTGATATGATCCTTAAACTTCATACCTTTTATTATTTATGAAAAGTTATATCTAGTCCTATGTAAATAGATTTTAAATCTTATATTTTTATCTTATATCATGGTAGTTATTTGTTGGGGGTATTATCCCAATTTAGTTCTTTTTACTTTTCTTTTCTGTGTTACACCTGCAAACTAGCTGGTGAGATTGTCTTCACGAAAGCTAAGTGCCAACTTGACTTGACCTGACTTGACTTGAAAGCTGCTTTATGCCGGGAAGGGTATTTTGACCGCCGTAAATATTAATTGTTGATCATTTTCAAATCATGGCAATAAAAGTGTTTTATCTTCCATAGTGATTACCGTGTCTCCTCTACACATCGACGCCTAGAAAAAGATTGAGTAATAGTTCAAACGGAAATGTACGGATTGAGTCTCGTTCAAAAAATCAATTGTGTCTTTAATATTGTTGACAGATTTTATCCATTGGTTATAATGGTTTTCCTCCGGGGATTTCTAACAGCGCTGAGAACTGGTCGGATGAACAGAAAAACAATTTAGTAGTTCATGCAGAAGCCAATGCTGTACTTTTAAAAGGAACAGCCAACCTAGAGAACTCCATTGCATTTGTGACACTCTTTCCTTGCGAGGACTGCGCAAAAATGTTGATACAGGTAAGCCACGAACTTTGCCATACGCTCAATTTTATTGTATTAGGTACGCAACGTCATATTTCTCAAACATCGTTTTCACAAGCCATGTTAGTAACTAACATAAGGTTTACTTTTCTAATTTTCTTTTCATGAATATTGTTCTAATCTGTTAGAATAGTATAATGATAAGCTAAGAATACTAAAATATTTGCCAGGTTGCCACAAACCTGCTTAGAACAAGCACAGAACAATAAAAATAGGTACGCAGAGTCTTTACCTGCTATTTTCTTGTCCCACAAAAAATTCCGCCCATTACCCTACTGCGGGTTCACTGCCAGTTTTAGTAATACCGTTCCCAGATTGGTGTCAAGCAAGACCAGTCAACGTTATGGTATCATAGCTACTCAATATTTAGTCACATTTAGTATAAAACTGATATTGAAGGTGAACAGCCTGCACGCATAAATGTTCTGTCAAGATTGTTAAATTATTTGCGCTCAGTATATGAACTACTTCTCCTTTTTCGTTTTATATTGGCGGTGACTCTATACTTCTAGTCTTTGTAAGGTTTATTCGTTTAATTGTTCGTTTGCGCGATAGATAGAAGGTTACAGAGAGACGGCTAACATGGCTGACCACCCTTCTTATCAGGGCTAAGTGGGCCAGGTGCGGTGGGTGGGTGGATGGGGGGTTCACCTTGTCCAATTGTCCATCCGCCTTTCAATTGAGTGTCGTAAAAGCAAAACGAAAGAAATCGCTCTGCCCAACCACAAACAGACCATCCAGTGAATCAAAACTCGAAGTAAATACATGTAACCGACGCAAAGCGCGGGAAAACGTGAGCGAACGAGTTAAGATTGGTTTGGCCCAGACGCAACCCCGCGACGGGAGGGGACGGGAAGGCCAAAGCTGTTACCGGCCATACCCCATTCCCTGTACGAGACGCGCAGGGAATCATAGAGGGGAATGTCCTATTGGCAGCTTGGGTGTTTTGGATAGGATAGATATGAGTATTCAATAAGAAATAATCTATACTTGTTACATTCCGTCTTGTTAGGCTGGCGTAAGGAGAGTTTATTATCTTTCTTTTCGAGATAAATACAGGAAATCAGACGAGATATTCAAGAAAGCTAAGGTGGACATTGTGTAAGTTGAATTACGCAGTGACATTAAAGCGCCCTTTGCTCTAAAACAATTGACCTTTTTAATTTGTACTTATCTTTATCAATCGAAATTTGCACTGATTTCAAAAATATTCCAGTAGAAATCTTTGTTAGACCTATAACAAAGCAATTGTAAGCAGTGGCATTAATATTTTGCTAAGGCTAGTAATGGCCTGCACCTACCAGTTTGCCATTTTATTACAGCTAAACCGATATTTTAGCGCCATCAAAGCGTTTTCATTCACGTGGCCAGCAGCCATGTAATAAAAGAAAGTGTTTACATAAGAAAAGCGTTCAACTCCCACAGGATTGGTTTGGTACACCAACATGGGCGCCGTTACATTGTTTTGGGATTCCAATATGGTTGCCGTGACGTCGTTTGACATTCTATTTGTGCAGCTTTAAGTCTCGTCTACACGAGCAATTTTTATGTGACAATTTCTATGTGATAAGTACATTTGATCATGCAGATGGCACATCAAGCATTTGTCAGCAGTTCAAAATTTAGGGCGCCAGTAATGACTTTGGACAGCACTGAGGGATATGCAAAATCAAGGAGAGGCTGTGTAGTCATTCCCCAAAGTATGGCGCTTACGGACATATTTGCCTCATTTTGTTACGAGTCGTCTACAGGAGCACCAGACAACTTTTATTTGTCACATAAAAGCTAACATGCCAGCTTTTCAGCAAATATATTTGTCACATAAAATTGGCTAATTTTCCTCATCTACACGAGCAAGAATTGGCACATAAAAATTGCAAGACAAGGCTTTAATCGATGAATAAATTGAGATCTGGCTCTGAACCCCACCTGCAGAACATTTTTTGTACAAACTATTGTAAAAATGTTCTTTTGCAGCTTAGACGTATATATTTAGAACCAAAACAGTACCCGAGCAGTTTTTCTTTGATTAGAAGTCATGGTAAATTTTACCTCTTAGGACGACAACGAATTTGACGTCATGTGGATCCGATGCGTTATTGGGGCTAAACGGTTTTAACCGCATCATTAGGCTACTTGTATGTAATAGAATGCCAGTGACGCGAAATAACAGGTTGTCTAACTCAAATTCCAGTCTTGCAAAATAGCGAGGCACAAGTAAACAAATCAGTAATATTATAATCTGCAGAAGCTTCCATTCTCTCAGCGAAAGTTTCTAGAAAAAAAAAACAATGTCTCTACATGTAAACTGAGTTGGAAACAAGATCTGACTTTTATTTTTCCCGCTTTCAGGCCAGTTAGCAGAGGGGATGACGGCACGTTGACTATGTTTCAAAACACATTTATAACCATGGTTAAAGCAGCGATACAAAATGTAACCAATACCAAGGTAGATGGTTCCAGTAGACAGTTATGTGACTCGTTGAAGGAGAAGGAGGAAATAAAATACCTCAGGGAAACGGACATTGAAGGTCCATGGACAACAGACCAACCTGGAGAAAGATCTGAGGAGGTAATTGATGAATGTATTTTTTTAACTCTTGCAGACATACTTCCTCACCAATTCTTGGATCTAGCTAGGAAGGGTGAAGTATTGGCAGCTTGCTACCTTACTTATGCATGATTCACCACCCCAAAGCCTGCAAGTTATCTACGATCAATTTATAGCTAAGTCCAGTTTAGTTAGGGTGGGGTTTGTTAGGTCACTGTGATCTGGTGTGCTGTAGGTGTAATTATTATGAGTAATTTAAGTAATATAGTTCTATGAGCATACAAGCAGCCAAAGCGTAATGCGATCTTTTGAGGCCTATTACAATACTATGAACCTAAACAGAGAGCTAACTTAAAAGGAAATGTGACCTATACTAATTCAATGCATTTTGTCTCCAGTAGTACGTCAACCTTCTTGGCCGCTTTGTTCTTTATACGAACCTTCTAACTCGAAGGGAATCTTTTTTCACCAGATATTGTTCAAGAAATGGATACATTATTTCCTTTTTCTTGCACATGTTGCCAGCACAAGGTCTTCCTGTGGTGCCAAAGAGGGAGCGTTGCTTGTAGATTCCAAAACAATTAAGGTGGGTTCAATTTTGAGAACTTGCAATCTTTTTCAGATTTAAATTAGTCAACTAGCATTATTGTTGACTATTATTTCGAGCGATTAGTTTTTGGGGCAGGTTTTAGGGACAATGAATGATTGGGAACTAGGTTTTCATCACCGACGGCATTTCCAAACTAAACAGCTTTCGTGAACAGTGGAGATATCGGTTATTGCCCAAGATGGCTGTATGTTTGCCAAGTTGTGTTTTCAGTGTTTATGGACTAAGACGGAGTCGAGGTCCATAAACTGGTTAAGAGAAAAGAAGGCCAATTAATATCCAGCCATCCTGACCGAACAAGCTTGGTCAACAAAGGATTCATTATATAGTTTTCGATAAAATTTTCTTGCGAGACACAGCGGGCAAGATAGCGCCATCTTGCCCGCTCGGCTAGCCAAGCACAGCGTAGGATTTGGTTCATCTTGCCCGCTCAAGGAGCTAGCCATATATTTATACTTATTTCCATTCCCAGTGTTGTGAAGGACCTGATTCGTGTTTTAAGCTGAGCTTCATCGAGTTATGATGAAATTGGGAAGTCGCGGTCGCAGAACACTCAAGAACTAGAGTGTTGCGCTTCCAGCAACTCTTAAGCTCGTTATGTGTTCTTCAGATTGCTTAAACTTAAGTTTTCAAAAATACTGGGTCGGTAGGGTGACGGGAAACGAAACACTCTATGAAGATAGCTAAGTTTTTCAGCGCACTTCTTGGTAATATTTTGAGTATTGCTAAAAATTATCTTATGTCGTTGCATTGACAGATGTGTTCCTTATCGTACAAAGGGTACCCAAGAGGCGTAGAGGGAACGCCAGATGATGTGCTGATGGTGTCCGCCATCATGAATGTCCTTGCGCTTCGCTTTTGTGAAGGCAACGAGTTCTATGCGTTTTGTACAGATTTTCCCACGGAAGGGGAGGTAAAGAACCTGGCGCAGGTGAGAAATTTAAACCATTGCATCGTAACGTAGTAACTTCTTCGCT